TAATTAATAATGAATAATATCAAAATGGTTTTTAAGTTGATGCTGAAAATTTTCATGAAGAAAAAAAGATATTGCTCGAAATAATTTGCATGCACCATTTTGTACAAATAATTCTAGAAATTACTTGAAATAACTAATGTATATATTATTTTATAAAAACAATTTATTTAATATCTATAAGATTTTAAGATCACTAGCCAATAAAATTTTGTACTATACTTTTGACCAATAAAATTCTAAATTGTATTTTATCAAATAAACCATATGATATCATATGTACAACTATGCTTTTGACCAATGAAATTCTAAATTGAGATTTTCAAAAAAACTGTATAATATCATATGATAACTATGTTATATATGACCCGGATTGAAACAAGTTTTAACACAAATTTTTCTAGAAAATTGAGATTTTTAAAAAAACTGTATGATATCATATGACCGATTAATTAACTATATTATATATGACCTAGATTGAAACAAGTTTTAACGCAAAATTTTTCTAGAAAATCGATATTAATTATTTTTGTCATATGAAACTAATTAATTAATAATGAATAATATCAAAATGGTTTTTAAGTTGATGCTGAAAATTTTCATGAAGAAAAAAAGATATTGCTCAAAATAATTTGCATACACTATTTTGTACAAACTGATTCTAGAAATTACTTGAAATAACTAACATATATATTATTTTATAAAAACAAAAAACTATGAAGAGAATATACTTAAATGTTATTATTTTTTTTATTTATTGTAAAAAATATAATTATATGTAATTCTCAATAATTTAGTATCTATTCAAATAAAATTATACTTAAATTATCAAGAATAAATAAATCAAAGCTATGATTATTAGAATAAATAAATCAAAGCTACGATCATTTTGACAACCTTTAAAGTATACTCGAATTATCGAGAATAAAATAAATCGAAGCTATGATCATTTTGACAACTTTTAAAGTATACTTGAATCATCGAGAATAAAATAAATCAAAGCCTACGATCATTTTGACAATATTTAAAGTATACTTGAATTATCGAGAATAAAATAAATTGAAGCTATGACCATTTTGACAACCTTTGAAGTATACTTGAATTATCAAGAATAAAATAAATAAGCTATAATCATTTTGACAATCTTTAAAGTATATATAAATAGACCCAAAACTATGATCAGAAAAAAAATCTTACTATTAAAAAAATGCAATCTGCTAATGAAAATTCTAAAAAACAAAAATATAATTATCTAAATTCAGATTCTTCAAGTAAAAAATCAAAACGTCAACATATAGCATATTCTTATAAAAAAGCATTAAAATCCAACTTACTTATTCTTCGACATTATCTTGAACAGATAAATATAATATATGTTAATTGTAAAGCCTTGATATGGATAGATGAACGAATTACAACATTATCTCATTCAAACCCAAAATTTACTACCTGTTGCTTCAATAATAAAGTACAGCTTTCTTCTCTAAGAAATCCCCCAGAACTATTATATTCTCTTCTTTTTGGATCTGATTCGCACTCAAAAAATTTTCGAGAAATGATCTGTGCTTATAATTCAGCATTAGCATTTGCATCTATAGAAGCTCAAATAGATAAACAAGTTATGGGTACAAAAGGTAAATAAATAAATGAATGTTTTTAATAATAATATTATAAACCAAAACTAACAATTTATATTGTACAGGAGTCTATGTATTTAAAATATACAGTGAAATTTATCATAATATTGGATCACTCTTACTACACAATGATAATCGACCACGGTTTGCGCAAATTTACTTCTATAACATGGATAATGAACTTCAAAACAGATTACATATTATGCCTCAATTGGATCCTACAATATTAAATGAACTACAAAATATGCTTTATCGTGTAAATCCTTATGTCACTATTTTTAAGCAAATGCATGATATTTGGATTACAAATCCTATTCTATCTCTTTCAATAGCTATTAAGTTTACTCAAACTAATGATCCACAGCAATATAATACTCCTACTGCTAATGAAATGGCAGTTATTATGGTTAATAATGAAGAAGAAAATAAAACACCTACCACAGATATAATTATTCATCTTTTTTTTTTTTTTTTTATTATATAATGTCATAGTAGAAACTTTATTACAGTCAGTCCAAAGATTGAAAGTTAT